ATATAGTCTGTTGGCGGTCTCAAATTTCCCCGCCCGTAGGCAAAAGGTGATAGATAAAGTGAGACGAACTGCTGATGCTTTGGCTCGTCAGGTTGAAGAGGCAATGCAAAAGGAGTTCTCGGAGACCACCGAAAATCTAAACAGGTTTGCAGAACTTGTAGGCAAACCATATAAAGAAATGGCACAGAATCGAGTCGATGAACTTTCTAACACTCTCGACGAGTTAACCACTATTGAGGAAAAACTCATAAAATTGCAAATCGAAATCCAAAATCTTCATGTATCAGGGTAGGTATGAACCATTGTCTTCCCACACTACTAGGAAGTCCAATGTCGTAGCATTGATTTAGGGTGAAGAAGGATTCTCTGTTACAAATATTAAAATGTTTTATAATTATTTTTTATCATTTTATGGTGTTTATATTGTTAAAACACAAACCTTACTTGTGCTCAAGTTAAAAATTAAAAAGAAATTTGTACTAATGAAATGTACAATCATCCTTAAAACTATAAATTAAATTTAATTAAGATCTAGATATGGAAATAAATAGGAAAAATAGAAGAAATTAGGTAGTCTTTTGCCTATTAGCGAGAAAGGGTATTTCTATTTATAAGGGTATAAAACAGTGTTCTAAAACTCGTGAAAATGTGCCACTTAGGCGCGACGCGCGGTCAAAACTCGTCGAATTTGGGGACGCGCTGGAAAATGCGTTTCCATCTAAAAGGCGGCACAATGCGCGTGCTTAATGAGCGCATTATGCCGCCAAATTTTTTTTTGTTTTTTTTGGGTAAAAAATTTATTTTGTTTATATAAAAATATATTTAATGCCTTAAAAATATGAAACGCATTATGACGCTTGTTCTTCGCATTGACACGCCTAAACTTGTGATTCTTGATTCTCGGCCTCGACGCATCGCAACGCATNAAACGCATTATGACGTTTATTCTTCGCATTGACACCCCTAAACTTGTGATTCTTGATTCTCAGACTCGACGCATCGCAACGCATTATGCATTTTAGAGCGTAAATTAGTAATGAAAAGTAAGAATATACTTTAATTATTTACATTATAGAAAATTGAGAATAATATGAATTTTCACGTATTTTTCAAAGTGTATATAAATTTTATTCATGATACTATTCAATAAATTGCAAATTGAATAGGTCTTTAACGTTCCATTTTTGTCGTAGACTCCCTTGAAAAAAGTTTAAACCATATGCACAGAAGAATTTTTGACAGAAGATTTACAGACACTCACAATGTGTAGGACCCACCAAAATAAAAAATGATAAAAAGCGCACCCCCTTGCATTTGGGATTAATGCAGATGTATAGATGGTCGATTTCACATAAGTGTTACCGACCCTCACATGAGGTGGGTCCTGCCACCTGGTTAAAAAATTATTCGAATTTTTTCCCGCTCCTCCCATGTGTGTATCTGTAGAGCTTCTATACATCTGTGAATGTAGCACGGTAGAAGCTCTACATTTGTGAATGTAGCACGGTTCTTGCATTTGTGAGTACATGTGAAACCAACGACCTCCCTCTTTCTGTAAGAGTAACATAGTCCAAAGTCGCCCCCCGGGGCACATCCAAGTTGGCAAAGGATGGGCACTGCTGGGCTTGCAACTTCAGGGTGGGGAGTTGATTCCTGAATGAAGCAGCTGAGTGTTGTAATACTCAATTTGGGTGGAGCAGTTTGGTGATGAAATATCCATGGAGGAAGGCTCCCTTGGGGTCAGGAGTATAAAGGGTACACGGACCCTAGTCAACTTGGGCATATCCTGCGGTTAACCTCCACTCA